TCTTCACCAAGCTGAGCCAATCAGAGGCAGAGTAGGGCAGGTCATAGTAGGATTTGCAAGTTTGCATCTGGCTTCTTTTTAGGCTTCTTTCTTCTTTTTCTTCGCTAAAGGTCTTTGGGCAGCAAAAACTGCTGCACGAAAACTCACCAAAATTGGCACATAGGTTGCAAATTCCACCCACTACTCAGGCAAAAAAAATGGCCCTCATAGACCTCATGGTGGGGCTATAACAATCCACTTTACGTTTCTGCAATTATCTCGAAAACGGCTTCGTTTAAAGTCAAACTTCTTTCATCATTTTAATCTCTGGATTCATCTGCATCTTTGCTCAAATGGTCTTCTGCTCTAAAAATGTCAAATTATGTGACTTTTTATCACTTTTCTCTAAAACCTATATTTGCAGACTCGTCCCAAACGGTTTCACCAATCGACCTGTAACTTCTATGGACGTCGCTGATCAAAAGTTATCAAAAGAATGTCAATCTGTTTTTTTTTTCATAAATCTAAATCTAAATACATAAATGCTCGTAAATCAAAATTGGCTTAAAGGAGACCTATTAAACTGCTTTTCCAGTCCTATTTTGTAGTTCTGTGACTCCTATATGGCAGCTTTGCATGATTCACCGTTCAAAAAAATATTTTATTTTCTTATACTTCATTTCAGCCTGTGTGATACAAGCTGCAAATGCTCTGGTGTGTGTAAGGACCCCCCTCTCAAAGCCCACTGAGCCGTTGCCAGGCCCATATATGGAACACCAGCTCCTTCTGGCTCGGTAATACGTAGAACGGAGCTCTTGGTAGAAAAAGCAGTTCAAAACAGAGCGTTCAGAACAGGAGGAAATCTGAGATTTTCGCTCACAGGGATTTCTTTCAAATACTTTAACCAAATTTTTTGAAGCTTTGGCCATGTTTAACATGAATATCCAACATTTTAACATTGTAGATAAGTCATAAAATGTGGAAAAGCATAATAGGTCTCCTTTAAGCTATTGTAACCAAACTTGGTGCTCGGTCCGAGCTTTGCTAAGCAGTCCTGGGATGTTCTGAAAAAGTTTATACCTTGTATTTTGCTGCATGGATTCGTACAAAATTCGGTTTGCACGATCTAGGGTCACTACTTAGTTGATGCATAAAATTTGGTAATAGTTGCTCAAAGTGGGCGTGGCTTATTACAACAAATGTAAATTTCTAGACATTTCTCATTTCAAACTTTAAAAAATCTAAGAAAATCTCCTGTACAGCCTAGAGAACTGAATTCTTTTCAGCACATCCATTGATTTGTGACAACCATTTGCCTCACTGCAGCCTATGGTCAACTCAGAAGTCTGTCACTCTATATTTTTCAGAATATGCTAAATCAATTAACATCTATATCTGCACAAGTCTTTCTTCAAACGCTACCAAAATCGACACAGATATTCTCTAGATGACTGATATGAAGTGTTTCAAAGGGTTTTTAGATCATCATAGGTCAAATGGTGAGTCTGCAGTGATATTCAGTAGCTTGCTGTAACTTCTACAGAATGCACAACATTTTTTTTGAGTTACTCGGTCTTGTCTCGGCCTCAGACTCAGGATTTAATTTCAAGACCAGTCAACACCATAACTTTGGGAATATCAATAAATTGCTTTTGCATTGTCTGATTTATTTGTTAACATCCTAACTTTGATATATTGACGTATTGCTTAAAATGCAACCAATAACCCTCATGAAAAATGTGTTGTTAGTGTTAACGACTGTCCCCCCTCCCCGCGATGGTCAGCATGGAAAAGGAGCATTGAATAAAGATGCTTACGTTGATTTCAGCTCTTAGTGTTTGAATGTGGGTGTTTTAATGGGAATGTGGATGTTTTAGATCAGTTTGAGAAGTACCTATGATCTCGTTCCACATTCTATTGTATGTCTCCATCGCACTTGGTCTTGACTCGGTCTCAGCCCCTAAAAGTCTTGGTCTTGTCTCGGTCTCGATAAACTTTGGTGTTGGTCTTGACATGGCCTCGGTATGGGCGGTCTTGACTACAACACTACACCAACATCTTGACTGTTGTAAGCATTTTAAACTGTTTAAACTGACAAACTATCCAGGTCTGGCACACGTCTCACACGTCACTGCCTCAACTTGTGAGAAGGTGTCTGGAAACAACTTCTCACCAGTAGCTCAGTCAGTCAGTCACCCACTCTGGACATCTGAAGTTTCAGGGTTCAAATCCCCAGATAACCAATTCAGACTTGCTGAGAATAAGGATTGTTCAGATCATACTGAGTCCAAGGTCTCTGTTTTATTTGGATCCCGTGACACTTTATTCTTATTTTGCTCTGCTTAAAAGTGTTTGTGCAGTTTAAACTTTAAATCTTGGAAACACAAACTGTTGCAGGTGGGTTGAAGATTTCACCCAGTAGTCAGGTACATATAATGACACTCTCTGATCTCAAGGTGATGCTGTAAAAATCAAGTTTGCATTTCCGCAGCCTCAAAGTCCAAATTCTTTCATTACTTTAATCTCTCAAGTCATCTGCGTCTGTTCTTCTCCTCTGAAAATGTAAAATGTTGCATTATTTGCAACTTGCTTAGAAGAAACTTAAGCTTCATGAATGTGATATTTGTCCAAGAAACACAATAATTGTATTAAATTATCAATTTGATTACTGTTGAGATAAAATTACTTAATCCAATCCCTGACGACATTTTGACATGTGAGAGTAGGGAAAGCAGGTTTAAATAATAAAATGAATGATGGTTGAATTCCATTTAGCTGCTTCACTGCCTCTGTTAACACTTGGACTCGAGACTAGACAAGTCATTTTGGAGTGTTTGTGACTCTCAGAAAACAATAATAATAATATAATAATCTTTTTTATATAAAGCTTTTCAAAACCATGTTACAAAGTGCTTTCACAAAAGAGCAAAGACAATAAAACACATAAAACAGATAAGATACATGGTAAAAGCAGGAAGACAAAATACAACAAAATAGTTATTAATATAATAATTAATATAATATATAAATAAATAATAAAAAACAACTAAAATCAGGAAAGGCTCTCCTATAAAAGTATGTTTTTTGAAGGGACTTCAGAGTTCACTGTCTCAGTAACCCTAAATTTCCTTGCGCAGGCTGTTCCAGAGCCTCGGGGCCCCGACTGCAAACGCTCTGTCCCCTTTAGTTTTCAGTCGAGACTCTGGAACAGACAACAGACCTCTGCCCGGGGATCTCAAGGTACGTGCTGGTGTGGATGGGACTAAAAGGTCAGAAATATAACAGGGTGTGAGGCCTAAACGTAATCAATAAAATTAAAACCTACTGGGAGCCAGTGACATGAAGCTAAAACAGGAGTGATGTCATCCTATGTCTTGGTTCTGGTCAAAAGCCTGGCAGCTGAGTTCTGGACAATCTGGAGTCTATCAATAGATTTTGGGTCAAGCAAGTAAAAAGGCTGTTGCTAATCTAGTTGGATGAGGTAAAGGCATGTAAAATGGTCTCAGTGTCCTTAAACGTTAACATTGATGGTATTTTTTATTTACTTATAAGATGGTAAAAACACGATCAAAACTTAAATTACTCGTCTTTTTGGGACAGTGTGGCAGGTGACCTGTAATCCTGACTGAGACCACTAGGCCAGAATTGCGCCCAGTGGTGTTCTTTTGGTTTTGAGAGCACTCAGATTACATGTTTCCTGCTCTGTTTGACCAACCAATCAAAAAGGCAATGCTGCAGATTCTGCGGTGTATTCTGTCAGCAGCTGTCCATCTGTCTCCTCTCTCTCTATTGCTTGGGTCAGCTCAGGTGCTGTCCATGGTGCTGAATCCGAAACCCACCACTTTGTGACATATGAATGAAGCGTCCAGAAATGCACACTGCATAGGTACACTGAAATATACAGAGCCCTTTACAAACTATGACTGCCATTACAAGCCATTACGGAAGCAGGCAGACTCAAAGACAAAGACTGTAATGGTAGAGAGAGATGGATGGAGCTTAATGTACCCAAAGCATGGCAACACACACACACACATTATATATATATATACATTTTGATGACATTTGATCCAAAACTGAACCAAAAAGAAAATGTTGTGCATTCTGTACAAGTTACAGCAAGATACTAAATATCACTGCAGACTCACCGTTTGACCGATCTAAAAACCCTTTGAAACACCTTATATCGGCCATCTACAGAATATCTGTGTCGATTTGGTAGTGTTTGAAGAAAGACTTGTGGAGATATAGATGTTAATAGGATAATTGCATTGTTTGTTTGTTTGTTTGGGATGTGTTGATTAAAGAACTTGTATGACATGGGTTAAGACCCATATCAAGTTCAGTGTTCCCAGTTTGATTTTAGCTGATGACCTTTGTTGTAGGTCATAATCCCTTCTCTCATTCCTAATGTTTTCTGACTGGATCTACACAATCAACCTCCCAGTAAAGGCAATAGTGGCAAAAAAAATGCTAAAATAATGTCAGCGTTTTCCTTTAAAGTGGTATTGTTTCAAGCTGAAGTAATCATAATTCTGGCCACTAGGGAGCAGATGAACTGCAAACTAAACACAGCCTGACCTACAGACCAAACAAGTCAACTTAATTGCATTGTATTTATTTCGGCCTCGCCCTTTGTCACAGTCACAAGTTTGTCTCCAGGGGCTTCAGAATCTGTACAGCGTCCAACCCCCTCTGCCCACTTAAAAACCACTTCAACAGCTGAAAAGAGTGGTCAGTATTTACAGTGAAAATGCTTTGGCTCCTAAACTACCTATTATTCTTGTTATAGAACTACTTCAGATAAAGGCTGTTACTATCTCTTGTAAAACTACTGAAATATTTGTAATTGTTAGTGTAATGGTCAGCATTTAGCTAAACACATTAGCGCTGAAGCTAGCCAAAGCTCAGTTAATCATTCCCATGCAAATTTAAAAAATTCTTAATGCTTAGGAAAAGACAGGAACTGGTACCCATGACTGCAGCAGAGAATCCCTGCTGGTTGTTCTGAGAAAGAAAATGTCCCCCCTGCTGTTTATAAATGATTAAATAAGTGAAGGGACAGTGTGGTAGTCTCCGGTGGTTAAGACTATAAATTCACTGTTAAGTGGCTTTATTACACAATTTATTCTTCTCATAGAACATAGAAAGGTTAACTGGATGACGTTTTAGAAATTATTCGTAGGCTAGTTATTTGTGTGGGCAAACGGCTAGCAGTTAGCCATTAGGCCTATATATTAGTGCTATCTGCTTTTCCACCCAGTCTGTTCTGCACCAAAGGCAGTAGGCTATAACTTTCCTCTTGCAAGAGGGTTGGGCTGGGCTGGTGGGCTGGGAAAGGGGCGTGGGATAAGCCAACATCACAGGCTAATGCAGCCTCCCACCGTGTCATTAATCTCCGTCTGTGGACCGTCTGACCGTCACCCAGGTTGCCTTCATCCGTCCTGTCACACGAAGGACTGTGTGGACCGGCTGGATCTGATCTCTGGGTGTTTCCAGTAGCGGGATGAAACCAACACAGTGAGAAAGGAGCTTCTTCTCCTCCTGCTTATTCTTTTCTCCAGAAGCGGACCTTAGCTTCCTTTCTCCTACCGGCGGAGAAATGAGGCATCCACTGGCCGATGCAGCCCTGATATTCTGGCTGTTTCTAGAGGTGAGTGATGGCCGGCGTTACAATCATGACCCACGGTGTCGTCTGGCTGAAGGATTTCCCTTTCAGTATATTTGTTATGTGGCGACAAGAAGCCGTTTTGTTGGGGGCTGATCGGTCTGCCTGCCAGAGATGTGACTCCGATACGTGCCGCTTGGTGTTGTTTTGAGAGCGCTGTTCGCCAAATTAAATTCAAAACTAACATAATTCAATATTCCTTCGCATAAAGCCAAAATTACACACATGGTAGAGGACAAATTAGGATCTCTGTAAGATATACGACATCTCCTGGTAACTTCGGCATCTAAGTGACCCACCAAGAAACACTTAATGTCAATAAATTCTTAACTTTTAGATCGCTAACACTGCTCCTCGCCACCATCTCCATTGTGATGTAAAGAACATGGGAACAGAAAGGAAATATTAAAAGAGGTGATGCTGAAAAGAGGAGTGGAGACTACAGCGGTCCTTTTTTTGACGATAAAGCCACATTCAATTGTTAGGAGATGCTCTGTGCAAACAGGGAACGCCAAGCGTGTTGCTGGAGTTACCTGTGATAGTGTCGTCCTTTGTCCTTGTGCCCAGACCCCCATAACCACTCATTAGGTGACCGGGCCTGTAGGACACATACACCCACACAGTATAGCTGGTAGGCAGGAGACTGAATCTAACTGTAGGCAATGATATTCAATATTTCTTTGTCTCATTATGTTTTATGTTATATCATGTGGTTTTTAAGTGTAATCACCTAACAGATTGATTTGGTGCCACAAAGTATCATTCTTCTCGTTATCTAACGAAACGTGCACTCATAATGTTCTGCATGTCCTTGGGGGTTTAAGGATCATTTATGGAGAAAAAGGGAGTGACAATGAGCTCTAATGTTATATTACAGGACTCTGAAGGTAAGACAATGTGATCACGATCCCCACTCTTCCTGCCTCTCCAGTACTGCTGACACTTATGTCTATACATGTATTATTAACTCTCATCATCATTATTTTATTTTATTCAGCTGATTTAGTGAGCACATCCATTTTGAATGTGAGCAGGCAGCCTAGAGGGGATCAAGCCCTTAGACCATGTATTGGGACTGCCGAGTTTACTCTGATAAGCGGTACTGACAACCTGCATGGTATGTATTCTCCCAAGGAGACTTTGAGCGTTTTGTGCTCTCGTTTGCTAAATCTATTCATAGTGAAAGCCCAGTGTAATAGTGTTCATGACACTAGAGTCCTACTAGTAGGAGTGGTGGGGGGAAATGGTCAGAGAGTATGAACCTCCCATGTGTTACGCCCCAACTTCAGTTGATTAACTTCAGTGGGAGACAGCTGGTGACACCGCAGTAAAGCCATGCAAATTCTATTTCCCACATATAGTATTTTTAAAACAGAATGTGCAGTGAGAATATGCGTGCTTCCGGTACAGGTAAATGTGATGGATGAATGATACAGCTGTGTGTAATGACTGCTCACTGGTAGAGAACCTTAACAACGCAACCCAGTCAGTGAAATTGTGCTTGTGTTCTGTTCATCGACAACACCAACAAGTGGTGCAGCAGGCAGAAGTACTGATATGCAAACAGATAATTAAAGGCTTGTGCAGTAGTTCCCAGTGTCACAAAGACAAAGACTTGTTCAACACAGTGATGCATATGTTTGGGTTTATAAATCTGATATCTGTACATTTCTACATTTTATTTGTGAACCTACACAGAGTTTTATGCATCTGGCACCTGGTGTCAGAGTGGCAGCATGTCTGTCGGCCGCAGGGCAACAGTAGGGCTGGCAGTGACAAGGCCATCTGAAATTTCATACTGGGAGGATAATATGGAACTTGTCTACATTTTCTCTTTATTTCTCTAGGTAGGTAGGTAGATTTTATTTGTCACAATATAACAGGTTGTAAAGTGAAAATGAGTTGGTAACTCCCTTCTGCTACATAGTAGACATTAAAATAGGAGCAATTATAAAAATAGTAAACAGACATAAACTATCATCACTGGAGCAGTGCTGAGGATGAATTAGAGTTGAATCGCGTTAGAGTCTGATCGCTTGGGAGAAAAAGCTGCCCTGCAGCCTGGTGGTGCGGCAGCTGAAATCTCTTCCTAGTGTTCCAGTATTGTTGCTTAGCCAGGGCGATCTGTGAGTTGGTCGCCTGATTTTTGCAGGTGCTATGGAATCAAGTACAACTTACTTAGTAAATCATCTGTAGACATATTTGGTTTTTGGTTATTGCTACATATGGATCCAGTGATCCAAGCTGTCAGCTGAGTTTGAGTTAAGGGAGAAACATAAGTAGACATGTGGGAGCAGAAGGTGGAAGGAAGTCCTTAAAAATAATAGCTTTTTGGTCAGAAACACATTAGCTAGCCTCACCGAGATCCACATTTTCAAGAGTTAAACCCGAGGACAGAGCAGTGTCCAGGGTGTGAGTGAGTGGAACCCTTAACTAAACAATATTAAAATAATTCACAATGTCTATCAAATCCATAGCAAAAGAGGAACCATGTATTGTATACATGTATGTGTGTTGAAATCACCTGAACATGTTCAGCTAGGATCGTAGAGCTGCTGCCTGCCCAGCAGGGGGCAGGATATCTGTTTCCATCGGGCAGTACAGATGACTTAATAAATGGTCTTTAAAGGGGCTATATGTAAGTTTTTGATTTTAATAAATCAAATTGTCATTGCCTTATTGTCAGTGGGCACAAAACTCACTTAGAAATTAAGCACACGCCTGTTTTCTCCGTTGCTTGCATCTGCCACTATTCTGCTTTTAATGTGAGGTCTCCGGGTCGGATTCAGCTCTGCGCACGCTCCCGAGCCTCTCTCAGACTACAGCGACAACACGGCAGCTAACGACATGCAGCCCACTAACACCATAAAACAACCGGCTCACAGCAAAACACAGGCTCCTCGTAAGGATCCAAAACACGATAAAGGTTTATGTGCTGAAGCCCATCAGACCAAACAGGTTCAGATGATGTCGAGTAAGAACAAAGTGAGCATTAGTAAAGCCAACTAACGGCAACCATGTTACTATCCTGTGTACCCACTGTTGATTTAGCCTGCAATAAAGGATGTAACGGCAAAAAGCAAATGTGGAGCGATTTGTTTACTAATGTTATCCTATAGTGATGCAGCCAGGAGCAGCCAGCTAACGCTACAGTAGCTCGGACCTGCAGCTGTTTTCACGTTCTCAACGTTCAGTTTATGTTTATTGTGGTTTTACCAATACTCAGATACACTGCTTCTCCACCTCTCAGTCGCTGTAACCAACGTGACCCACATAACATAAAACACTGCAACAAAACGGTCACAACAACCCGGAGGAAGAGCCATCCACTAACACTAGTTACAGTAAAGTTACTGACTGCAGTCTGTTTCATTATCATCCAGTACATGTAGCTGTGCTGACACTGCTGAGCCTCCGGTGACAGATTCACAGATAGTAAAGATAGTTACTGAAAAGCAGCGCGCGAGCTAACGATGTAGCACGTCGGCTAAATGCAGTAACTGTAACGTGATCATGTAACGAGCATGGATTAGTTCAACCTGCAGCTGATAAAACTATTACTGTAATGTTGCAGTGGGAGTTTACCTGAGTTTCCAGCTCTGTCTGTCTATAGTCGCTGTCACTCTGCCTTTTTTCGGGAGGATTGTGCAAATATGCGGCTCGCTGCGCTGAATGAAAGGTACGGTGCCTCTGAGACGGGAACATCGAAGTAACAGAGCCTGAACATGTCTGGAGAAAAGCCACAGCCAGCATGCTGGTGTTCCTGCGTTCATTGTATTTCAGTATGAAACTGGTTGTGTTTCGGATTATGCTCGCTCATGAGTTCAAGCGAGCACGCGTACGAGCACACACCTGGTTGCAATCTTAGAACCGCAACGCTAGTGGCCGCTGAAAACTCCATAATGCCCCTGCGGTAAGGCCAGACAGTAAGGTATTCATAGTTTTCACCTGACATCACATTACAAGGAAAATTCTCCCTTGGTGGGCAAAAAAGACATTATTTTCCGCTGCCTACCAATATGCAAGTGATACAGTGCTACTTTGAGTTAGTTACTTTTTGCATTGCCAAAATGCTGGATGGTTTGTGCTTTCAGATGCACTGATTGAGGAGTAGACAAGCCTGGGCTGAGTTAGGTGAGGCCCCAGAAGGTAAAAGTAAACAATAACGAGCGGGACCTGGTGGTTTATAACGATAGAAATGTGGCAGCGGATGCTGTAACGTTTTATGGATCGGATATGCCCAACACTTGCAGTTTGTTCATATCTTTCTTTTTCTTAAGTTGAAAGGTGATCCAAATAAAATTTGACTGCTTTTGTGGCGTCTCTACGGGGGAGTCATGGTGTTGGTCTGTCGTTTTGTCCTCCAGGTCACCGCGCATGTCACGTAACTGAAAACTAATGCCGCATTCCAGACTGTTCGGAATTGGGAAACATCCAAGTTGAAATATCTGACATCCGACCTCAAACTGTTTCAGGTGCATAGTGGTGCATGGTGCCAATTATAAACGATAAACATGGCTGACCATGATAAACGTTTCTTTGGCAAGTTTATGCACAGTTAAACCCTCAGCCATGCACTTGGTGTTAATTAAAAGGATGGCCACTCGTTAACCGTGTGTCCTAATAGCTACAAAAGTCAGCAAAAGGTGTTGGCTATATTTCCAAATGTTTTCACATTTCTGGGCATTTTTAACATTTTCCTGAGTAATTTTTGGGTAGAGAAGATGACTTTACTGTAACCCGCTACCTAATAACAATGACAAAATATCAATATCAGTTTTACTATTTGATACTATATGTTTTTTTTTATTTAATACTTTACTTTGCCTTTTAGTTTATGGTTTACCATTTACAATGTGTGCTTCCATGGGAGCTGCCATTGTTGTGTGACGTCATTCTGCTGCTACTCGTGAAGTCGGGGTACATATTTTTTCTCCACGAGTTCAAGTAGGAAATCCGACTTCAAGAGGCGTTCTATAGTAATT